TTACCAAGGCTTAAACTTACTACGGTACCATAATCCAGCCTTGAAAAGTATCTTTAGGTCGGTATTTAGTCTGTGCAATTGAGTTGACAGGGCTTTGAGCCATGCAGAAACCACTGCTCTGCGATTCATGGGCCTAAACTGGGTCGGTCCGACGTGTACTTATGCATAGGGGATAGTGTCGATTGTGGCTCCACGTACTACGTACGTAGTAGTACTACGGTACGTTGTAGATTCGAGATCAATTTGCCCTTGGCGCAATTAACGCACCGATCAACTACTGTACTTCGTCCCAGGCGTAAGTATTATCCCTCGAGGGTAGGGTAACCAGGGGGTTTAAAGCGGAAACTGAACTTTTAAGGCACCCTCGAGGGGTAATACTTAGGCCTGTACCGTGGTAGTAGTACTTATTTACTACTACGTACGTAATTAAACAGAGAGTAGACGTTATTGGCAGCCCGGGCGCCAAGTTTTGAAGAACTCTGCTGCTCCTGCGCGATTATTTATAGTCGACGTGGGGATTTCACATGCGGTTACTAATATTAGTAGAATGAATATACTACGTAATATCAGACAAGATTAGTTAAAGAATTGTATTATAAAAGAGAGATGCAGATCCCTTTTGGCACTGCGTTGCTTGCCGTCACTTTCCTTACCATCACTTTCCTTGTCATCACTTTCCTCATGATCATCGCCTTCCTTTGCCAGCTTATTCCGTTTCGTCAGCTCGCATTATCGAAAGACTTATAAACCTTGGGGCACCATTTTGGTATTTTCAAATCATGCTACCATCGCAACCTATCTGCTCGGTCTTGCTAGCCTTAAGCTTTCTATTCAGCAGAGCTCATGGGGAGGAAGAAAAAGAACGAATAAAAGAACTTTTAGGTTTTGTAGCGGTTTCCGGAGTAAGTTTCACTTGTTTTATACGTAGTAGTATGGTATCGTATAAGCTTATATTAATTACGCGAATTATAGGATGAAGCCCAATATATCAATAGTCTTCACAAGCCCTGGATTCATGAGGAAGTATTCTACGATGAAGTACCAGTCTACCAACCATTGGGAAAAGGCTATTATCTGTGTAAGTTGATTTACCTTCATAAATCGTCAATTACTTATGACGCGGCATTAATATTTGAATAGCAAGCGACCCTACTGGTTTGGTGTATGAAGATGGCGACTGGTTTTGTGCTTTCACAGTGGATCGAGAGAGGCTTCTAACAATGGAGAAAGCGTGGATCCCAAAATATGACCCGGTACCAAGAGGTACTACATGGCCAATTCCATTATGGGACCAAGACGAAAGCATTATTGCGGAGTATATGAGAACTTTGGGAGTGCGAGACCCGGATAGGGCATTACGCTTTTCGAATATTGCAGGGGCCCCTGGGAAGAAGCAAGTGCTTATTCCAAGCGAAGTGGTAAACGACGATGAGTTAAATATCTATGGTGCATGTTCGGACAATGAAATGTACACGAGAGCTCTTCCTGGACCTCGTTGGCAGTATTATGGCATTGCTGGAGACCCTGGACCGGAAGACGGAAATCCTCCAAGCCTTACATTAGAGCAGCTAATGAGTGGGGCTGATGCATTTTTTGACCAATTCCCGACCCACTGGAGCCAGCAGAGACCGTGGATCGGGTGGAGCAGCCTGTGGGGTCAGCGGATTCAGCGGGTTGGGCGGGGTCGGTATCAGGTGGGCCAAGACCAGCAGGGCCAGCAGGGCCAGTCGGACCAGCAGGGCCAGTCGAACCACCAGGAGCTTTCTGTTTCAGATTATACGGTCTAGATTTCTCAACAGGTAGTCTCAGATTGAGACTTTAATCCAGCGACGCAGCCTGAGATTGTCGGGCCTCATATTTCCAACAGAAGTATCTAGTCGACAAATAAGATCAGGTCAACGCGCCCCAACGAACCGCATTTGTCTGCCTCCGTTCTCCTTTTATATACAGGATAAAGACAGGCTCAATCGAGATATTCGAGAGCGTTCCCAAGAACGCCTAGTCATGCAAAGTTTTCCCTGTTCTAAAATCCTGAACGCCAAATCCATCCGGCTTGTTGTCGCGTGCTTTGGAGATCATATACGAGCAGCACTTGCTTCGTCATGGCTGAAGAGATGCACAAGCCCCATGGCTGAACCAGCAGCCACACTACCGACGACCACCATTTGCACGCCGCCCCAGCATCCTTTCCGGATGTTCCTCACGCCATCCCATCCTACCACCACACAGGTCTTCACGTATCCGAATGCAAAGAGCGCGATGACCATGACCCCGATCGATATGTAGAGACCCTCGTACACTTGGTTCTTTGCGACGAAGAAATAGGGGATAAGAGGAAGCAAACCACCAAGGAAATATGCAAGGGCAATTGTCATGGCTGATGTAAAGGCGCGAGACGAAGCTGGCGGCGATTCGCAGTGCTGGAACTGCATGACAAAGTCGACCAGGTGGGGAGAGTCTCCGAGATGCTGTGTCAGATCCTCTAGCGTTGTCTTGGGCAGCTCGAAGGGCTCGAAGACTTCCGTGATGCCTTGGATTACGGCTCGAGGGTCGGTTGCTACCTGCATCTCGGTCTCTGCTCTTTGCGCATGGTATGAGGCCCTTGGGAATGTTAGCAGATGCTGACGGGCTAGATCTTGTGAGAAAATTACGCTTCGCTCTTGGCTCCAAGATATCCTCCGAGTCCCATTGAAATCGCTCCAGCGATCAGCTCGGCGAATCCTCCATAGATAACTACGTTGGTGTTTCCAAGCGCAGACAGGCCGGCCGTGAGAGCGAACGGAACCGTCAAGCCATCCGAGAGTCCAATGGTGGCATCGGAGATAACTCTGGCGTCGATTCTGAATCCACGCCTCGAGTTTGCCTTCTCAATGTTGGAGTCTGCATCCTGCTGCGACTCGACATCGGTATCGGAACCTCTGGATAGTCTCCGTTGCAGGTTCTCCTCGGATGGACCGCTCGTTGTCTGGCTCAATAGCGGTTGCTGTGATCCATCGCTAGAAGCTGTGCCATAGTTGGTCTTGTTGCGGACTGGGACTGCAGTAATGGTTTGGCGGAAGAAGAGGTTTTTTAATCCCACGAGAGACATGGCTCCAATCGGTGATGGGTCTGGCTCTGGACGTTGTCTGCGAACAACCAACTGTTCTACTTATGAGGATTTTGGGTTGGGGAAGAGGCAATGCTGCTGTCCTCGGCGTTCAATTATTCGGAGAGTGTTGAGTGTGTGTGTATGTTAATTGGCCATCAAGGTTTCTGGAGGCCATGCTGCTGTTATAGTAGTGAGTACGGATGCACCGTTTGTTTAGTTCCGAGCCCAGTCCATGTCGCTACTACGGATATCGCTACAGATGCTCCGGGGGGGGAGTTGGGGGTTGAAGTTTGCTGACCTCTGTGTATATTCTGATTGGCCAAGGTCGGGGGGGGGGGGGGTATGCTTCTGTACTGTATGGGCTTATGGGGCACCTCTGACCGACTGGGCAGCGAGCCAATTATGATGGATGGCCGTGAAACAAGCTTTATCCATGTGGATGTCCAAACTCAACTCACCGTTGTCTTTCAGTACAGTAAGAACACTTGACGAGCGTTGTCTGGGATCTGCATCTTTTCTTACGACTTGGGGTGAATAATACCCATTCACTGATTGGCTACTTGAGAACGCCAGCCTCCGTTGACTAAAACGCGGCTTGCAAATGCCCGTGTTTTCATTGGTCTGTTTTGCCCTGTTGGCCTGCTTAGTGGCATGGCCAGTTGCACTTCACTTCGTACTCTGGGAAAACGCGTGCTACAGACATGGTCAGGATTCTGTGCATCGACCGTAACCCCAGAGTGGGGAGGGATACTACAGCACTGCTATCAACTCCGTAAGAGATCGTGGGACCATGGGTTTGATAGGAGTACATGCTTGGAATATACAGCAAGCCTTTCGTTGCTGAACTCATCTCCAGACTCTCTCTATCCGTATACGCTCGATGCTTATAAGCAATGCATGTCAACCATAACTTCTGGCTATCATACTTGACCACTTCTCATCAAAGCCGCGTCAAACCTTGTACTCCGCCATCTGAGTTTCAACCATTTCTTGGGCGGTTCTCCAGCTATCTTCCAATGTGCAATTGGCCTTCTTACAGAATTTTCTCCAGACCACGCTTTGAAGACTTGCATACGACATCGTCTACGATATCAAGTTTTGTGTAAGCATGCCTCCATTTTTATGTTCCAGAAGCAAGCAGAGAGAGACATGTTGAGACATGGGCTGGAGCATACTGCTAAGACAGCCCGAAACAAGTCACAAAGTTATGGAGTTGTACTTACATAGCCCATCTCGAATGCGTTCATATTGTCCAGACCCTGCTGTAGCATCGAACGGGTCCAAAGATCCGGGCGTCGCGGAGCATCCCTGGACTTTTCAAGAAAAGCGTATGCAAAGTACGGTCCATATCTCTGAACCAGGTCTTCGAACACGCACATACACTCCTGGAGCCAGTGGTCATTATGTAGGTCTTCGACATGAGTGGAGGTTGGTGTGAATAGCCGAGGGTCACTTGTAAGTTGCGTAGGCTGCAGGAGTCAGCTGTCACTGCTATCAGTCTGGGTAATGAGGTCCAGGGGATCCTCACAATGTTGTTCAGAAGCCCAGATCTATGCAAGTCACCTTTGGTCATCGTGAAAAAACCTTCTCCGATAACCTCAACCAATACGCCTATACTCGCCAGATCGATCGAGGAAAGACCGTCGAGAAATTCAGCTTGCCGAGATCTCACAACATTTATCTCGGTCAGTCCTGCCTGGTTTCGGGTAAGCATCCATTCAGCTCATCTGGGGACCAATACATACCGTATAATCCACTAACTTGTACAAAAGCAGCAAAGCTGACTTCTTGAACTTCGTCAAATAATTCCCCAGATCAGCGTTGGGAAGATCAAGGGTTGGCCAATTTTTCCTGTAATCCGACATTTCGGTGATTTCGTGCCCTACCAAAAAGTCGATGGTCTTCACTCGAGATTTCATTTCCAAAACCCAGGGAAATGTGAGTACCGAAACGATAGCGTTACCCGGTGGCGTTCGCGAGGACAGTATTTCGGCTTGTTGAGAATTCGCATAGGCAAATTTGTCTTTGTTGATCTTCAGCAGAGACCTGGATATCGATCGTTCGTACGCTGTGAGGAGCGAGTAGAACTCCTATTTGACGTTAGAAAGTCCCACAGTCAGAGACCGAGAGCGCCCCCTTTCTCTGCAGATGATTTGGCATATTGGACGGCTTCTGACCTTTGAGAGACATAGAAGAGACCTTATGGCTTTGGGATCCGAATCAATGAGGGCGGTGGCAATGTCGAGGCACACTTCTGGTCCTAAGACAAGGCCTCTATCGCTTCGGAGGGCCATTGCAGCGATGGGAGAGGAGCGAAGGAATGCTATCTGCCAGCAGTCAGCACCCCCAAAGCACGTCGAGATGGTCCAGCACTTACATCTTAGACCTACAGAGTTATCCAGAAACGGGGGATTAGGGGAATGAAATGTTCGTAAGTGATACCAGTTCGGAGCAACAACCAGGTGGGTGGATGGTGATTGTGGGGGGGATGGTTAAAGAGCAAGGCAGATGAACATGGTGGAATGAAGGGAAGGGGCAGACCGAGACAGCGCGGGCAGCTCTTTATCTTTTAGAGTGCGAGCCATGATCCCTCAAGGTGGCAGGAGCCCTGAAGAGAAGAAGGATGTGGATGTGGATGTGGATGTGGAAAGGCGCGAGGCTGATGAGCCTTGCTGCGAGGCGCGGGGTACTAGTAGCTAGTAGCCATCAAGGTGTGCGGGCAGCTTGGAAGGTTGTGTGTGAACTTGACGTGACTCGCTGGGGCCCTGGGATTGACTCGCGGTCGAACTATGTTCTGTTATTTGGTTCACGGCCGCATGACTGAGCACCTGGTGCGGAGCGAGAGAGATGTTTACTCCAAACAATCACTTGATGAGATCAGCTTCCAGAGTAAGGATGCTCGATTACCTCTTACACGATACAGTACTAAAATTACACTCATCGCAGATCACCCACCCGTTTCCAAACCAAACCAAACCAAACCAAACCGTCATCGCCCGGCCAAGTCGAATCGTTCAGATGTCATGTCTAGCTCTCTTGGAGTGATGTCTGATCTTCTCGCCGTACTTGTATAGAACGAAGGGGATCGGAATGAAAAGAATTGACAAGAACCCCAACAACGAACTGGCCCAGTCGGTCCCCAGTCTGCGATACATTGCTCCCGAGAAGAGGGGAAACCCAGCACCGAAGGACGAGCGGAAGAAATCGTTGCCAGCCAGGACCGAGGCGGCATAAGCGGGATAAGCATCTCCAAGGTAATTGAGTACCGAGTTGAACATGAGGAAAGCACCCACCGTGAAGAAGGAGGACCCGATGATGGGCACGATCCAGTGGATGGACTCGCGTGCCGTCCAGCCAAACCAGAACATGCAGATAGGGATACAGAAGGCTCCTACGAAGGCTGGCTGCAGACGTATTTCAGGCTTGATCTCCCCTTCCTCGTTGAAATGCGGCTCCTGGATATATTTAAGGTAAAGCAGGAAGCAAGGGAGCGTAACGATGCCGCCGACGAGGATTCCCCCGTAGGATAACCCTAGCTCGCCGAGGTTAAAACCGTACATTCCTTGGAAGACTATGGCGAAAGATTCGAACCATGCGTATAGGAGCCCATAAATCAGAGCAATGTACGCATTCAGGAGAAGCAAGACAGGCTCCAGGATCATCAGCGAGAAAGGCCTGACCAGTGTCATCATGGCAATCTCATTAACGGACATCTGCTCGCTTGCAAGCTCAGGCTCGCACTTGAGATCCGACCTGCCGGTCAGCTTGCGAAGTCGGCGACTGCGGCGATAGAGGATATTTGCCGAGCTTGTCTCAGGCAAGAAGAGTATCATCATGATGAGGGCGAAGCCACTGAGCCATAGGAGTTCCCAGATGGCCCATTGCCAATTCTTATGTTGTACGGCAAAGCCACCGATCAGTGGACCTAGAACGGGGCCGCAGAGAGCAGCCGTGCCCCAAATTGCTATCCCGTACGCACGCTTCTGTGGCGCATACATATCGGAGATCGAGGCACCTCCGGTGGCCAATACGGGAGAACCGAAAAATCCGGTCAAGAATCGGAAGGCGAGAAGCATACCGAAGTTCTTCGCGTAGATAACGGCGAATTGAAAGAAGACGAACACGATGAGCGTACTGACGTAGACCGGATTTCTTCCAAACTGGGGAATCTCAGACATCGGGGACCAGATCATGGGGCCGACACCATAGCCTGCTACGAAAAGGGTGAGGCCTAGGGTGGCAGCGACCTGTGAAACACCGAACCTTTCCATGACCCCCTGAGTACCTGCAGAGTAGATCGCGGATCCGATATAGATGGAGAAAGTCAACAGGCAGATCATGCCAGTGACAAATGCTTTTTTGCCACTTGACCAGTTTTGCGGATTCTACCATGGATCAGCGAAGTTCTGTTAAGACCTTACTACGCAAGAAAGATACTTACCTCGGGATCATTCTCCCCATACCAGTCAACAATAGAGACATCCCGCCCCTTCTCCGGGTCAATAGCCACTCCACTGACTTCATTCGTCTGCCTATCCTCACCATCTCCAACTGTGGCATCTGAGCTCTTCCTTCCGATTCCGCTTTCTCTCTGTCGTGCATCTGCCCTCGTGCGCGGATAGTGCGATTCATTGGTACCGGTTCCAGTTGGCCTCATATCAGACTGGCCTCCGTTTCCTGCGTTCGTATCCAGGTCTCTGTCCTCCCCTTTTGGAAATCCCCTCTCTACATAGCCACTGCCGACATCGTCACCATTCGCATTGCCCTCTTTCCCCTCTGCCTGATTCTCCTCCTCGGTAGTGCCGTGATGCGCCATACGCCCACTCTTTGCGGAGTCAACATATCGCCTCCACAGCGCCGGATCCCTTTCCTCTGGATATTGCATAAGCCGGCCTCGGGTGCTCACACGAAGGAGTTTCCCAAGAGTTGTATCCCGAAAAGTATCTGCCATGATTCAGAATCCAGGTCTCTTTGTTTCGAAAGAAAAGAAGAAGAGGAGGAGGAAGAGGAGGAAGAAGAAAAAGAAGAAGAAGAAGAAGAAGAAGAAGAATGCTCGTACGAATACTAATTCCTTCTACTAGGCAGGCAGCCTCAGAGGAAAGAGGAACACAATGGCAATTTGTACACCAAACGCATCCAGCACTTACCGCATCATCGTCCTGCGGACTAACAAACGCTCACTCCTCATGACGAAGCGAACCAAGTCCAAAGCATATCTGCTTGCACATCTGTTCTCGGCCTTCGGCTGATTCACTCCAAACTCCGGCGGTCGATCAAAGCTTATGATCTCCCTAGCCCGGGAGATCAGGAAATAATCCATGTCTATGCAGATCGTCCCGGAAGCGGCAGCTGGCTGCTGCAGAGAAGCTGTAAAGAGCTTAGCGAGGAGCGGCTCTTTGATGACGTTGATGACTTCGGACTTTGGGGAGGTTGTTTTTGTCAGCCGTTAATCTTTCCATTAATCGTCGGCTCGATTAGGTGGCCCTCCTTACATCCTTACTATCGAGATCAGTCCATGGAAGTGGCAAGAGAAGTGCTATGAGTTACTACTATAAGTGGTCCTCCTGGGCAGGAATTCTAATCGTACCTAAAAGGGACTTGGGATATTCCAATGAAAGCGACTTGAAAAGCTAGCTATTCTCGCGCAATAACAGAAGGACCAAATGGAAAGTAAGAGAAAGAGTCGCAAATGGTTCCATCCATCATACCGATGGTTTGATATTTGAAATTGGCTAACAGTTCGCTCTTCAGCAACAAGCCAAAGAAGATCTCGAAGCTTTTTCAAAACAACGAATAATTTACAAGTTGTGAAGGGAAGAAAAGAACCTTGAGTATCGCAAAGAGTTTTCCTTTACCCAAAGCCGAGCGCAAGCGCAAAAGGGCTATACGAGAACGCCTTGCTGCAGGCTTGATTATTGAAGATGACGATCCAATACTCATCATTCCTATCCCTGATTCGAAAGAGTCTTGATAGTCTCAACAACCTCTTGACCGTCAGCTTTTACGGCGCCGTGAAAAAGGTGTCCCTAACTTAAGCCAATTCTCCTTGCACCCGAATTACTCGGTGACGATGATATTGCATTTAGGTATAACCGATACTACAGGAGACCCTTTCTTCAAAGCAAAGGGGTTTTT